CATTTGGTTAGCATATAAATATTTATGGAATTTTGCCCCATGAATAGATATTTTATAAATATATACCAATATTTTTTTACCTTACTAGGACTTGGGGACAACGGGAGTGCCAAATTACCAACAATGATTATCTCGGCACCAAAAAGGAATTAATTTGTGTATTTTCTTTTTCAAGAACCTTTTCCTGTTGTTGTTTAGAGACTACTGTGCTTCTAGCTAGTAATCACCATAGCTGGGAAAACAATAACACATGCAATACCTTTAAGAACAAGTCATTAAAAAACAAAACAAAATAATGTATGTGGGTCATCCCTTGGCCAATCCGGGGCCAGAGAGAAGTTGTTATACTGGTTTTCCTTAAATAGCACCATAACCTAACCTGAATCTAAGATGGTTTCCAAAATATGTATAGAATGAATGTTAACTAATTAGTTCTATAAAAATATGTATAGAACGAAAGTTAATTAACCATCAAACCATGGTTATCATGGTTTATCCATGGATAGGAGACCCAAAAATTCAGAAGCACTGTAATACTTTTCATGATATTAATAAAAAATGAAGTCATGAGATCATGGAAAAGGTTTCTGAGGAAAAAATCAGACCAATTGTCTTCCCTAGAAAATGGGGATGACACAGGCTGTGTACATATAAGCATAATTAAAATAAAACTGATTAGGCCTGGTGTGGTGGTTCATGACAGTAATCCCAGCACTTTGGGAGGCCGAGGCGGTAGGATCATGAGGTCAGGAGTTCGAGACCAGCCTGACCAACATGGTAAAACCCTGTCTCTACTAAAAATACAAAAATTAGCCAGGCTTGGTGGTGTGTGCCTGTAGTCCCAGCTACTCAGGAGGTTGAGGCAGGAGAATTGCCTGAACCCGGGAGGCGGAGCTTGCAGTGAGCTGAGATCATGCCACTGCACTCCAGCCTGGGTGAGAGAGCAAGACTCCATCTCAAACAAACAAAAACTGATTAAAAGATTATAAAGGTGACTTATGACACTTTTTAAAAGCTCTGATTCTGTGAGTACTTAACTATGTGCCAGGTACTGTGTCAAGTGCTTTAAATACATAATTTTATCTGATACAAATAATCCTATGAGAACAGGAATTATGATCCTCTAAAGTAAACCTCTAAAAGAGAGGCTTAGTAATTTGCTTAAGGTTACAGACAGCAACAAGAGGGGCAGAGGCAAATTCAGGTCCATCTGCTTCAATAACTTTTATCCTCTTCACCTTTATCCTATGCCACTTCTCAATATTGCTGGTGTAAACTCTGGTAAAATTCTATCTCCAGCTCTAATTTTTCCTGACCTTCAGTCTTGTACTTTAGTTTATGGAAGTGCCTACACAACACCTCTACCCTGATGTCTAATGACCACCTCAAATAACATGTTTCAGTAAGTGATGCCACCATTCACCCAGTCGCTCAAGCTCCAAATATAGTAGGCATCCTTGTTTCCTGCATCAAACCCACTGTCAAGCCATCAGCAAATATTTTGGCTCTGCTTTCAAATTCTATCTCCATCTGACCGCTTATCACCTCCACTGCCACAACCCTAGTTCAGGCTATTATCACTACTTAGTTGGACTATTGAGATAGCCTCATAATTGCTTTGTTTTCATAGTCCATTCTCCATAAAGCAGTCAGTTATCTTTTTATTTTATTTTATTATTATTTTTTTGAGATGGAGTCTCACTCTGTCGCCCAGGCTGGAGTGCAGCGGCCGGATCTCAGCTCACCGCAAGCTCCGTCTCCTGGGTTTACGCCATTCTCCTGCCTCAGCCTCCCGAGTAGCTGGGACTACAGGCGCCCGCCACCTCGCCCGGCTAGTTTTTTTGTATTTTTTTAGTAGAGACGGGGTTTCACCGTGTTAGCCAGGATGGTCTTGATCTCCTGACCTCGTGATCCACCCGTCTCGGCCTCCCAAAGTGCTGGGATTACAGGCTTGAGCCACTGCGCCCGGCCCAGTTATCTTTCAAAAACACAGATCATATAGTTTCACTCTTCTGCTTAAAACCCTTTAATAATTGCCACTGCAATAATGTAAACTGCTTAAGATGACCTACAAGGCCCATACTGGCCCCTACCTTGATCTGCTTTATCTGACTTTATCCCTTAATACCCTCTTCTTTGCTCAGCATGTCTCAAGTCACATTGGTCCTGATATTTTCAAATTCCTCTGTGACTTAAAAAGTCATGTGCTTTGAGAAGATGTGAAAGGGCAGGGTTGGAAGTTTTAGGAAATTGGCAAAGGTGTGAAAGAGTTGCTGAGAGAGGGAGAACAATCCGGAAAAATTTAATAGGATTGCTGGGAAGTATTGAGGGTTGAGTTGTGCTTGGTGATTGAAATTAAGTAGGCTGGGTGTAGTGGCTCACGCCTATAATCCTAGCACTTTGGGAGGCCACGGTGGGAGGACTGCTTGAGGCCAGGAGTTCCAGACCAGTCTGAGCAACATAGTGAGATGTATATACACAAAAAAATTAAAAAATTAGCCAAGCACGGTGGTGTGCACCTGTAGTCCCAGCAACTCAGGAGGCTGAAGTGGGAGGATCACTTGAGCCCGGGACGTCGAGGTTGCAGTAGTGATCACACTACCGCATTCCAGCCTGGGTGCCAGAGCAAGAGTGCTTCCAAAAAAAAAAAAAAAAGAAATTTAGTAATAGAATACAGATGGCTATGCACATTTCTCTAATAGTGGTCAGCTGTTCCATTATCAAAGAGGAGAATATGGATAGTAGGGTTCATTCAAGGTAGGGGTACGATGAAAAGGTGAGGCAAAGGAGTTTAGAGTACTGATTAGGTACCTACTGAATTTTTCTGTAGGTAATATCACAATGGAGACCGGGTGGAGAGAAGTGTTGCTTGTGTCTATGGCTTGCCTTAGTTGTGGCAGCAATCTAGAATTGCTAAATAGGAACACTGAATCAAAGAACCTAGACCTGGCTGGGCACCATGGCTTACACCTGTAATGCCAGCACTTTGGGAGGCCAAGACAGCTGGATCACCTGAGGTCAGGAGTTCGAGACCAGCCCGGCCAGTATGGTGAAACCCTGTCTCTACTAAAAATACAAAAATTAGCCTGGGGTGGTGGCATGAGCCTATAGTCCCAGCTACTCAGGAGGCTGAGACAGGAGAATTGCTTGAACCTGGGAGGTGGAGGTTGCAGTGAGCTGAGATCGCCACTGCACTCTGGCCTGGGCAACAGAGTGAGACTCCGTCTCAAAAAAAAAAAAAAAAGGGCTGGGTGCGGTGGCTCACGCCTGTAATCCCAACACTTTGGGAGGCTGAGGCGGGTGGATCACGAGGTCAGGAGATCGAGACCATCCTGGCTAACATGGTGAAACCCCGTCTCTACTAAAAATAAAAAAAAAATTAGCCAAGCGTGGTGGCGGGCGCCTGTAGTCCCAGCTACTTGGCAGGCTGAGGCAGGAGAATGGTGTGAACCCAGGAGGCGGAGCTTGCAGTGAGCAGAGATTGCACCACTGCACTCCAGCCTGGGCAACTGAGCAAGACTCTGTCTCAAAAAAAAAAAAAAAAAAGAACAAAAAAGAACCTAGACCTATCAGTAGAGGTTAAAAGCTTTACTTTTTAAATCCTGAGGTTAAGAAATTATCAGTATTTCGAAACTTACAAAATGGACAAATTGGTAGAGGCTTTTTAACATTATAATGGAATTTTTCACTTTTCAAAATCAATTTCCAAAGGGAACCTATAGGTTGAACAGTAAGATTTATCAACAAAGCAGGGATTTAGATTTTAAAAGGTTTTCAATCTGGCCAATTCTTCAGATTATCTCAAGAGGGAGCCTTCTTATGCCTCTTCTTCCTTCATAACACTTGTCTGGCTGTCATGTCCTGTTTACAAAGATTTAAGCCCACTCTTAAAAAGGCATAAAATGCTCTTACTGACATGACCCCTGACTAACTTGCCTAATATTTTGCCATCTACCCTCCATGCACTTTAAGCTCCCAAACTATTAATTACTTGACACCTTCTGCGCTTTTGCTTGGTCTCTGTGGCCAGACCATCTTCCCTGCCTTCTCTGTTGAACTCCTAGCCATTCACAACACTCAGCTCATATAGCACACTTTCAGATGAGATTCAAGCATTATCTCTCTTGCTACATTTGGCCCTTGTAGATATTTCTATTATTGCCTGTATTTTGTTGAAACATTCATGTCTTTTATGTACTATACAGTATATAATACATATGCATTACAATGCATTTTTATGATTCATGTTTTGGGGCATCCAGCGGCTAAAATAGGGCAAGGGTTATGTGGTCTTGGCCAGGTCCCTTTTCCTTTCTGAGCTTCAGGTTCCTCAGGTATAAAATGGGTACTATGGCTCCATGAAGATGAAACAGAATATATGTAAAGCCCTTACACAGTGCTCAATTCATGAAAACCATCGCTGTTTACATTGTTTAGGGCCCTCAAGAGGCGTTCTAATCAGCGGGGTTGAGGAAATGCCTCTTTAAAATGACGTCATTATAGGAGACTTAAAAACCACAGCATGTCTGTACAAGTGAACAGAATCACACAGCTACCTAAAGTGGGTTCGCCTGTCATACAGTTTAGAGGTTCCACTTACAACAGGTTTCCATCAGTAGCCAAAGCAACAGAAATTTTAGATTAACAAATCACGGCTTCCGGGATTACCGCAGGGCGGGCGGGAAGCGCCTTTCCGCCCGGGTGGGAAGGCCGCGTCCCCATGGGACTGCCGGAGGGGGCTGGATCCCTATGGCCTGCGGCAAACACCACCACCTAGGCGGTCCAGGGGTCCCTCTCTCGGTGACTGGTGACCAGGAGGCCGCAATCTCTTCACATAAAAGCTCTACGGGTTTCCGCTCGGCCCTCACAGCGGCAGCGGACCGAACCGAGGGAATTCCCGCTCAGGTCCTAGGCCCAGGTAGGCCGGGCCGTGGGGTCTCCCCGGGCTCCACGCAGGGGCGGCGGGGCGGGGCGCAGTGACGCAAAGAGGAGTGACGCGACGACGCAACGCGACGCGGTGACGCACGCCCCTTTGTTGGCTCAGTAGCGATAGCAGCGGCCGTGGAGGTGGCGCTGGGGACTGTTTTCTCTTGGAGGCCGGAGCGGAGCCGCGTCTGACTGAGGCGGGCAGCAAGCGGCCCCCTCGCTCCCTCCCTCCCTCCTCCGCGCCCTCCCCGCCGCCACCAGCAGTCAAACGCCAACCGCCGCTCCTGGGGAGGAGCCGCGGCCCGCGGGGCCGGAGCCAGGCCTGCGTCCGGACATCAGCCGGAGCCGGAGCGAGAGCCGGGGCCTCGGCGTCCCCGCCCTCTCCCCGCCTCGGCCAGCGTCCGCCGGGCCCCCGCGCGTCGCGCCATGGACTCGGACGAGGGCTACAACTACGAGTTCGACGAGGACGAGGAGTGCAGTGAGGAGGACAGCGGCGCCGAGGAGGAGGAGGACGAAGACGACGACGAGCCGGACGATGATACCCTGGATCTGGGCGAGGTGGAGCTGGTGGAGCCCGGCCTGGGCGTCGGCGGGGAGCGGGACGGACTGCTGTGCGGGGAGACGGGCGGTGGCGGCGGCAGCGCTCTGGGGCCCGGCGGTGGCGGCGGCGGCGGCGGCGGCGGCGGTGGTGGCGGGCCGGGGCACGAGCAGGAGGAGGATTACCGCTACGAGGTGCTCACGGCCGAGCAGATTCTACAACACATGGTGGAATGTATCCGGGAGGTCAACGAGGTCATTCAGGTGAGGGTGGCCGCCGCGCCAGCTGGACCGGGCTCAACCAGGGAGCGGATTCAGGCTGCACGCGCGGTCCCAAGGGACAGGCCTGGGCCTGGTGCGCAGCCCAGCCCGGTGCCTCCCGGCCTTGTCTTCTCCGCTGCCTCTGCTGGGGTAGAGGGTGTCGAAAGCAGAGGTTCGCCGATTAGCCGGGTGTGGGGAGGTACTCTGGGGGCGGTGCTTCCCAAGTCCTGCTATGGCGGAGGCCTTCGGCCGCCTAAGCCTTCTCTTGCGGGCAATTTCTGCCAGTCCCTGGCCCCGGTGTCCTTTCTCTGGCTGGGCGAGCGCCTACTGGGGCGGGGCGGAGGAGGTGGGGTGGGGAAGAGGAGTCAGGAAGAATTGGGCCCCGACGAGGGTTACCCCGGCCTTAGCCTCATTTGAGCACTTTTGGAAGGGATTAGAGTAGGCCTTAGAGCAGCTTGGTGTACAGTTGCCCCAAGTGGGCACCAGTTAATAAAGAAATGGATCTTGGCAGTCTCAAGTGCCTACTTAAAGGGTGGGGGAAGGGAACTATTTCTCGGAAGAGGTGCTGATGGGCCTTTTCAGATGGTGAGGCTTCTGCTTACATCTTTTTTACATTTTTGCTGTTTGGGACCTAACTGCTACTTTCTCTAGTCGTAGCATATGACTTGCTTGAAGCTGTTGGAATAGTTACTGCATATTGCATACCCATCCTTGTAGCTAAAACGGCAACAAAACGCAGTGTTGTCTAATATTGGACAAGACTCTATTGTGAGTTAGAAAGAAGAGACTTTCTGCTTGTGAACTCCTTTCTCTGATATTTTCTGTTTTGTGGTAAGTTAGGCTTGGTGTAAGTTGATAACCACATCTCAGTGAACCATATGCGTCAGATTTTGCATTTTTGAGCTTTAGAAAATCAAAAATCTTCATTTGTTTGGGGGAAAAAACCTCACTTGTCCTGAGGAATCAGGGATATGACCGAAGAATAAAAATGAAGCTTGATTTAGTGCAACTTTTAGAAAACCTGGAGGGAAACATATATGAGCAGCAAGTTACTTACTATTGCCTCTTGCTTGTCAGTCATCATTTCTTTTTTAACATAAATTGGTTGGCTAAATATTCATTGACAAATTAGAAGTATGTCACTGTCAACTAGTTGACTTTCTATTATTAACAGATTTTTATAGTATTATAAGTAACAGTTTTAAAAATTGAATCATCTATTCAGGCACTGTTTGAATACAGCGTTTTGCATGATAGAAAAATGTCTGATACCTAGTGCCATTACTAAATAGTGGAAGTCTTAATTTTTTAATATAGAGAACGCAGTCTTAAGAAGGAAGTTGAGGATTGTAGAAGATAATTTTTTTTGTTGTTTGAAACAGAGTCTCGCTGTGTCTCCCAGGCTGGAGTTCAGTGGTGCAGTCTCAGCTCACTGCAACCTCCGCCTGCCGGATTCATGCAGTTCTCCTGCCTCAGCTTCCCCGGTAGCTGGTACTACAGGCGTGCGCCACCATGCTCAGCTAATTTTTTGTATTTTTAGTAGAGACGGGTTTCACCATGCTGGCCAGGCTGGTCTCGAACTCCTGACCTCGTGATCCGCCCGCCTCGTCCTCGCAAAGTGCTGGATTACAGGCGTCAGCCCCCGCGCCGGGCCTGTAGAAGATGCACGTGTAAGACAAATCTGATTAGGTAAGAAAAAATAAAAAGACAAAACAAGCCTGCCACCCAGAGACCTACACCAAAATATCAACTGTAGTTATTGTTCTAGACCTTTGGATAGCTACTAATATGGTTCCACATTAATAACAGTGGAACCGTACTGTATGTTCTGTGTTTTCAGTGGAAAAACATTATTACAAAAATCCTCTGAACAACCTTCTGTCAAGTTTTTCGAGAACTTACATGATTATCGATCCAAACTGATTTATTTAATCAGTCTGTGATTTGCCTTCCTTTTTATTTTCTAGTTTCTGGCTTTTATAAACATCGTTTAAAATATTATTATAGGTCAGTCTTTCAGTGTTCTTACTTTCTTGGGATAAAGTGAATTGCTGAGTCAAAAGAATTTGCTCATTTTCAATGCGTTTGATACATACTACCACATTGCTTTCGGAAAAGTTATGCTAGTTTTCCCAACCAGTGTTTGATGGGCAAAAAAAACCTGGTGAAATTGAACTTTCGTTTATTGGGCTTGGTATTTCTTTTTTAAATTGCCCCTCGCTTTTTGCTCATTTTACCCTCTCATGCCCATTGCCCCTCTTTGGGATATTTATCTCTTACTGGTTTGTAAGACTTCTTTCTATTAACAGAGGTTGGAAATAGCAGTTATCTAGGTTTTTAATGTTGGTTTGATAAACACTGAATTTTACTTAGTTTGCATTAGAGAGCTTACTGTTAATTCTTAAAAATTTAAATTCCCTGTTTCCAATTCTAATTTTCAGTATGAATCAGGTAAGATACATTGGCAGGTGAAAAAGTTTGAAATGTAAAAAGATCACCAAATTAATTTAGTGTTTCCTTGGGAATTTGATTACTTTTTCTGGGAGGGGAGTTCTGGGCAACAGCATAAATACTGTTATTTGTGGATATCTACAGGTTAGGTTTGGTCTTCAAATAAGTCAACTTTATTTTTCTTTCAGAAAACTCTTGGTTTTCTGGCTTTCTATACTTTCCCGGTTAACATTTAAATAAAAGACCAAATATATTTAATTTGGTCTTTTATTTAAATCTTTTGTGGCTACCTAGCTTGCCTTTTCAGCTTTTAAGGAAAAAAAAAAAATCTGAGTTTTTTGTTTTGTTTTGTTTTGTTTGGAGACAGTCTTGCTCTGTCACCCAGGCTGGAGTGCAGTGGCCTGATCTCAGCTTACTGCAACCTCCACCTCTCAGGTTCAAGAGATTACCTTGCCTCAGTCTTCCCCGCCCGAGCCGCCTCCCACCCTGGTATCTGGGATTACAGGCACCTGCCGCCAGGCCCAGCTGATTTTTGTGTTACGAGGTTTCGCCATGTTGGTCATGCTGGTCCCGAACTCCTGGCCTCAAGTGATCTGTCCTTCTTGGCCTCCCTAAGTGCTGGGATTACAGGTGTGAGCCACCATGCCTGGCCAGGGTTTTTTTTTTTTTGAGACAGAGTTTCACTCTGCTGCCCAGGCTGGAGTGCAGTGGCGTGATCTTGGCTCACTACAACCTCTGCCTCCTGAGTTCAAGTAATCCTCCTGCCTCAGCCTCCCAAGTAGCTGGGATTACAGGTGTGCACCACCACACCCAGCTAATTTTTGTATTTTTTAGTAGAGAGGGGGTTTCACCATGTTGCCCAGGCCGATCTTGAACTCCTAACTCCAGGTTATCCACACAACTCGGCCTCCCAAAGTGCTGAGATTACAGTCATGAGCCACCGTGCCCAGCCTAAAAAGTGGTTTTCTAATGTAACTGTGTAAGTAGCTAGGTAAATTATTAAATGAACCCTGTTCAATTCTGCAGTTGGGAGTATTTAAACTTGCCATTTTGTATTTCCACAACAGTGTCCAGCAGATGTTGATTGTGCTTTCTAAGTATGCCAGGCACTATGTTAAGCAGAGGATATGCTTCTTGCCTAAGGAGCATATAGGGATAGGAAATATGGAGGTCCTTGGACTCCACTTCCAGAGATTCCTACTCATAAACGAAGTCTGGGGTGGAACGTGAGCGTCTCTGTATTTTAGACTTCTAGTGATAGTTAATCCACTGTCACGATTTTGACTCAGGCAGAGTGAGTGAGAAGAGCAGCAGCTCTTAGGAGCACAGATTGGGTATACCTAATCAAAATATCCGAAATGCTCTGAAATCACTTTGTTTTGTTGCCTAGGCTGAAGTACAATGGCAAGATCATAGCTCACTGCAACCTCCAACTCCTGAGCTAAAGTGGTTTCTCCTGCCTCGGGCTCCTGAGTAGCTAGGACTATAGGTGTGTGGCACCACACCGGGCTAATTTTTTTTCTTTTTTGTAGAGACACAGGGTCTTGTTTTGTTGCCCAGGCCAGTCTCAAACTCCTGGCCTCAAGCGCTCCTCGAACCTCAGCCTCTCAAAGTGGTAGGCCTGGAAATCCAAAACTTTTTGAGCACTGATGTGATGTTCAAAGGAAATTCTCACTGCAGCATTTCGGATTTCGGATTGTCAGATTAGGGATGCTGATTGTAAGTATAATTAAATATTCCAAATCTGAGAAACTTGTGATAGTCAACGTGTACCATATTTAGAGTGTGTGCCGAGAGGAATATGGACCTGGGACTGTTGAATGTGAGTGGTCAGAGAGGAGGTATAAAAAACAGTGGATAGGTATCTTGCTTTTATAAGATCTATTATGCTAAATAACTTTTTTTTTTTTTGAGACAGAGTTTTGCTCTGTTGCCAGGCTAGAGAGCCGTGGTGGTGCGACACTGGCTCAGTGCAACTTCTGCCTCCCGGGTTCAAGCGATTCTCCTGTCTCAGCCTCCCGGGAAACTGGGACTACAGGCACATGCCACTACGCCCAGCTAATTTTTGTATTTTTAGTAGAGACTGGGTTTCACCATGTTGGCCAGATGGTCTCAATCTCTTGACCTCATGATCTGCCTGCCTTGGCCTCCCAAAGTGCTGGGATTACAGGTGTGAGCCACCGTGCCCAGCCAAATAACTCATTAAAATATTTAAGTCTTACTGAAGAAATTTTCTGTTGGCTGTTGGTTTGAAATATTTATTTCACCTATTTAAGAGATTTAATTAAAGAACCTCAAAGTTGAGATTGCAAGCCTAAACTAAGGAAGACAGTGTACTATTCTAGCATATTATTTACTGGTTGGGGAGTCAGTTATAGCCCTGGTTTTTTCTCTGTCTAGTTAGTATCTCAGAACCTTCAATTTTTTTTTTTTTTTTTTTTGATATGAGTCTCGCTGTGTCACCCAGACTGGAGTGCAGTGGCCCAATCTCGGCTCACTGCAACCTCCACTTCCAGGGTTCAAGTGATTCTCCTGCTTCAGCCTCTCAAGTA